AGAGCCTTTACTACATGAAAATGAAAATTAATGAATACACTGTGTACAGTAATTTACCTGATAAGACAGACCTCAGAAAAATACTTTATGAGAGCTTTTATACTTTTATAAAGCTGTCTATAATGAAAATTAATTAACTAAGGATTTTTTTGCCCTGCCAGGGTGTGGCCGAGTTATCCGGAGTGCCGGGTTATCGAGAGCCGAGTTTTCGAGGTTCTACTGTACTGTAATTTATTATGAAATGAAAGTTTTCATATTACTGTATGTGCAAATGAAAAGCTGTATATAAAATTCATTTATAAAAAGAACTTATATACATTTTTTTAATGAATGATTCATTTCTTAGAAATTTTTTTTTACCATATTTGCAATAAATTTTATTTAGTTTTTATTATTACATTTAACAAAAGAGACAAGTAATTTACATTTTAACAACAAAATCATAAAATTTTATGTACAATGTGCATTAAAATTTTGACTACAAAATTTAATGCAACATAACCTGGAATTTTTTTCAAAAAACTGGAAATTAAAATAATAAAGGAATTGGAAATGCAAAACAAATAATCTTTGAAAACTGATTAATATTGTGTAGTTTAAGTGACAGAAAAATAATATATTTTGACTGCATATTTTTTTCAAAAATAGTAACAATGGTTGTGAATTATTTTGCATATATATTTACATACTTGCATATTTGCACTCTTTTCTGTCATTGTAATTTGCAAGCTGACCCAAAATTTCAAAAATTGGGCCATTTATTTGTACTTATTTTTCACAGAGAAATCAAATCACATACAAAATTGAATTTCACCAAAACATACTACAATTATTAAATATACATATTTTTTCAAGTTTGCATTATTCTATCTAAAGTGGAAACAAATCGGAAGATTTGAAATATGTATTTTTTCTTTATAAATTACCTTTTGTTCACAAGTAATAAAATATTCAAATAATAAAAATTTGATGGAAGCCATGTTTCAAATTTTATTTTTGTGTCAAAAATAAAACTTTTGTGTTATTATTTTTCAAAAGATAATTGTTGTTTGTTTAAAAGATTCTGTCAAAGATTTTGCAACAAATAACAGTTATTTAAACCATATATTCTTTTTTAATAATAGGAACACAGTTTTCAAATATATTTGTATATGATATGAAAAACAAACAAATAATTAAAATGAATAACTTATAATCATATGGCAGAATACAGCCATATCAAGTAATAATATTCTATATGTAATTTGATTTTCTTTTTGTTCTTTCAAAAACTATATTATTAAATTAAATTCATATTAACGTTCAATTAACAAATATGTAAAATTTCAATTATAAATATTTAATTTTATATGTAACACTTTTTTTACTATTTTCTAATTTTTCTTTATCGTTTTGGTAAAAAATTTACAAGAGCTACCAAATGTATTATGTTTAAGAGAGTGAAAGATAACAAAGAAAATAAAAGATGAATGTTTTAAAACAATTAAAATATTCATTTTTATAAGGAAAAATCACGAGAAAAAGTTAACAAATGATGAAAAGGTGAGAAAATCATCTAGGAAAATATGTTGTTTACTAAGTAAACACCAATGGTATCAAAGATATTTTTTCTTGAAATGACTTACTGTATCTAATAACAATTATAAAAGAAAAACATGATAATTCTCCTATATTAGCAGATGATCCACAGAAAATAGTCCAAAAAATTATCACATTTGATTGATGATCATGGCATAGTCTCAACAAATGAAGATATGGCACAATATTTATTCTTGCTTTCTGTATTTCTTCACTCTCTTCCATTCACCTGTGCTATAGTTCATCTGAAAATGTGTTTCCACAATCAAAGTTTGAGTAGTGCCATCAGGTTGCACAACAGTTTCTTCATTCTCACTTAATTTAATAGTCACAATACTTCCCAAATGAGGGCAAGGATTTTCTGTAAATAAATTCAGAAATTAATAAAATAAATGATTTAGTAAGTCAACACACAAATATGACTTCTAATAATATTATTATTGTGGAAAATCATCAGGAAAACATCATTTTCTATCAATTAATGAAAAGTATAGAATTTATAAAACTATGAGATATGTAGACAAACAACCATTAGATAGCTTTCAAGTATCTTTCAAGAGAAAAACAAACAAGAATACAGTGCTAAGGGAAAGTAAACAGAACATTCAGATATTTTTTTAATACTAAATAAGAAACTTGAAAGCTACGTAATTGTTGTTTACAAACTCCGTTAAAGCATTTCTCACAGTTTTAGTTTGGTCATGGAATTATAATAATTTAGTTTAATTTACTATTCAAATAAAGAAATTATCAATCAAAATCAGAAAATCAAAAAAATTGTAATTGAGAATATACTAGTCTGGAAAAAATTCAGTTTTCTTTTCACAAGATTTATTTTGCTCTAATACATTTCAATAAATTTGTCTTTTTAATTTAAAACTTTCATACTGCCATAATTTGCATTTAATGCTGATTAAATGCTGATTAACACAAGATCAAGAAAATTTTATGATTTGGTCATTTTTTATGATTTATTTGAACATACATAATAAACAATGTTTCATTCTAACTTTATCCACAATAGTAGTAGTAAAATAAAAATTTAATTTGAAACTTGACAATTTGTTTATGATTATGTTTTTCTGATTTCTTTCAATACAGGATAGGTTTTGTATACTATTTGGTTTTAAAAACTAGAGGCATTTTGAAGTTTAATTGAAAAAGTTATTTGAATTTTTCAAAAATAAAATTTTTGCAAGTAATCTACATAAATAAAAATGTAAATGTTCATTTGTTCAAAAACTTAAATCTCTGAAAGTTCTTAACAGATTGCTTTGAAATTTTGACACAATGTTGCATTCGAATACATGCGTGTTTTTATATTATATAGATGTCGAAATTCCCCCATGGGGAGAGGGACAAAATTAAGGCTTACCGTGAAGAACTCTATTTTTATTATACTATTTTAGATGCAGATTTTTGTGTTTTGGATTGTGTTTTAATAGGGTATATCAAGAGAATGTATACTAAGAAGGGATTTTTCGAAATTTCCCTCCACGGAGAGTGTTATACATTTATAATAGATACATTTTGAGCGACAGCAATGCGTGGCCAGGTACAGCTAGTACTGTATAAATTTATTAAATTTTACTTATAAATAAGTTATGATTGTGGCATCTTTGCATTTTTAGTTAATAAATCAATCTATTATATTAGCTGGTTTATCATATAAATTTTACTTTTAAGGTCTGTAACCAATCTCCCATTTTTCCATATCTTTATATGGTTGTTTGATGAGATTTTTTCTACATGATTTTTTCTTCCACAGATTTTTTGGGAACTAGAACCATGTAAAAACAGAATTGGGTATATTTGCATACATTTTATTTAGTTGGAATATCTTCCAAATACAGTGAATTAAAATGAATATTTCTATTATTACAATTATATAAATAACCAACCTCTTGAACCAGCCATAAATCCTAGAATTAAAGCCTTTTCTGGTCTTGTAACTCTATTTGTATTTCTGAACATTTCTTGGGCTTCAAACATTTGTTCCCTCTACAAATGGAAAGTTTATAAAAAGTTATTATAATAAATAATAATTAAATTTCTATAATTAAATATAAATATATTTTCATCTTACTGATAATGAAAGATTCTTTTTTTGTGGTTGCTGCTGAGTTTTAGGCTGCACAATTTGATTTTGAGTGATAATTGTTTGTTGAACTTGAGGTTGCACAGTTTGTTGTGGTTGAATTTGCTGTATTGTAGTACCTCCTATTGATGCAAGAGTCCCAATTGTTGTCTGAATACCCAAAGATGGCTGCTGTTGTTCTTTAGTAATTACAGCAGTAAATGTTCCCGTACTCTGTGATGGAGTGGTAATATTTTGTACCAATGTCTGCTGAAAGTTATCTCGAGCCTGAGTTGTTGAAAGTACTGTAACTGCAAATGTTGATTAAAACTTTTAGTATCTAATTATACTTATTACAATTTTTAAAGAGAAAAATAAATTTACCTGGTAAAGTGACTGATGTTCCAATAGATGATGGAAGAGGATTAGTGGATATTGTAGGAACATAAGCAGTTGTTTTAGCTGTATTAGGTACAACTGATATAGCAGAACTTTGTAACTAAAATTAAAATTCATTCAGAAAGATATATCAATGTTAACTTGAAATTTTAATAAATTACCTGAGTTGAAGTAACTAATCCAACAGCATAATCTGGAGTGGTAAGAGTTGTGGTGGTGGTAGTAGTTGTAACTGGTGAAGGTGCGGATACTTCTTTATCTTTCTTAGAATCAGGTGTTTCAATTTCTACAAATGTACAAAAATTATTTGTATTAGATAGGTGTAATATAAAAAAAATTACACAATTTTTATTTTAATCTAAAAAAATCTAAACAGAAAATATCTAGAAAATAATTATTAAAATTTTAAACCTAATATTTTAATATGAAACTTTCAATTGAAGGGTGCACTGTTTAGTTCAGTGATGCTCCAGTGAACTCTGCACTACAAGAATTTAATTCTCACCATAAAGTTGTGGTTTAAAATTGTCACATGAATAATATTTATAAAGAAATTGCTTTGTATGTTGGTATAAGATTATCTTACAGACATAATCCCCATCTGTTTAAACTGCTTAGAAATGATATGGATCTGATCAACTACAACAGAGCACCAGGAGTATATAAGATACCTCTAAGGGATTAAAGGTTCCACAGGGACTTGATCTGTACAGGTTCAACCTGAAGATCACTCAGAAAACACTTAACATAACACAAAGCCTATATAAATAGAGGGTGACAGACTACTGCCCTCTTGGTATATGCAGGGAAAGAGAAAGTGAAACACAATTTACAATGTGCTACATTAATTAGAACAATGGCAAACATGAACCAACTCGAAGTACTAAAGACACTTGAGGTTTTTAAAGCAGAGAAGCAAGATCAATGTATAAACTTTGAGAAGAAGTGCATTTCAAAAGCATGGCAGGCCCTCTTTGATATATCATTATAAAAAATGGTTTTAGAAACTTTTACATTTGGATGCATTCTATTGGTCGATTTTGTAAAAAATTTTAAATTTGAATATACATGTCAACTCTCCTGCATTCAACATATTAGAACACTGAAATGTTAAAAAATTCCATCTGTTTAAAAATTTTTCACCTGAAGTAGACTGAAAACAATTCTTTTTTTGTTTGGAAAAATCAGCTGGGTGAATATAAAGGTAGTGAATTTTTGTACAATATAGTATAGCCAAATTTCTTGAGAAGTTTTATTTTACTCAATATTAAAGTTCACTTCAAAAAGATCTAATGTATATCAATGTGTGTCTATTGGAAATCTACAAAGATTTGAAATTCAGACACATTGATGTGCAATATAAATTATTGTTTATTATGACCTTTGTGCTTATATATTATAATATTTAATATTTAACTAGATTACTTTTAATAGTTGATAATGGACAATCCTTCTATTATTTATCTATATTAAATTGATATAGAAATTTTAGTTTATGTACATTTTTGAATAATCCACAATCAGCAACATTTTCCAGACAATCGCCATTTCAAAAAGCTTTAATTTAACTACTTTTTCATAAAAACATTTTAAACAATTTATCTTTTTGAGAAACATTACTATCCCAAAAATGTATCAGTTATTTAGCAAGTAAGAATTGAGTAAATTTAAACAAACTGTTTGAAATTTACTTTTTCTGAAGATAGTAATTAATAATTAAGCTAACTGTAATGATAGCTTACTTATTAATTATCATCATCAGAAAAATGTTAAAAAATAATTTCATCCATCTAAATAAATGCTACTATTCTTTTTACTTAAACTTAACATTTGAATATAGGAAGAAAATTTTACACTTTAATAAATTAAAAAAAAATAAATTTCATGCATCTGGATCTAAATAATTATTATTAAAAATATGCTTTTAAAAACATATGTAATAATGAAAACTGAATAAATTAAATGAAAGCACTAAAATACATTTAATTTTATTATTTATTCTTATTAAATGTAAATGTTGTAACTATATTACAAATATATAATTCCAAAATAATAAAATTTTAATTTACCAGAATGTTTCTTTCTTCTTTTAGCTTCCCTTCCATATCCAATAGGTTGTTCGGTAATATCTAATAACTAAAACATATTTTTTATCATTTATATAATTCAAAACAATCCTCTATATTTTTTATAATTTTTTATTACAGTGAGACTGCTGTATCTGTGGTCCAGCAACTGTGGTTTTAGTTATCTGTAATTCATAAGTGCAATATAGATACGAATTGTAAACTTGTCAAAACTCACTTTGATTGCAAGATTTGAGAGCTTTTACATGTAATGCATACAGTGGCATAGCGTGGGTGTCAGCCGCCCAGGGTGGAGGAAATTTCACTGCTCCCTTATTTAGGTATCTCAATTTAAAAGACTAAAATTCAGTTTCATCACAGGATAAGTAATGAAAAATTCCATGCTCATTTCAATCAGTCCAAATTGTAGGTGCAACAAAAATATGAAATGAAATGGTTCAAATTTTTACAAGATATTATTATTATTTATTGTGAAATTTTGCCACCCCCTGAAAGTGCTGCCTGGACCGGCCGCCCCAACTACGCTATGCCGCTGAGTGCATAATTTGATTTAGTTTTGCTCAATTTTTTTTAATCAAATAGTGGTTTTTTTCATTCAACTAAATTTAAAATATTTTTGTTCAAGTAAGTTTTTTTAAATAGCTTCTAAAATGGGTTCTAAGCCTAAGAGATGTGAAGTACTAACTATAAGTGATAATTCTCTATATTATTAAAATATAAAAAAAAAGTTTGAGAAATTGCCAAGCTGTAGGGAAAAAACAAATCTTCAATGCATGAAGTAATGAAGAATAAAAATAAAATCCATGCTAGTTTTTGTATTATATCTCAATTCACAAAAGTTTCTGATATAGTACATGGTAAAGTATTACTCAAGATGGAAAAAGGCATCAAATCTGTGGATAGAAGATATGATTAGAAAAAAGTACCTATTGATGGCAACTTGTTATGGCAAGAGGCATTGAGCTTATACAAGGACATTCGGTCACAAAATGGTAAGGAAGAGGCAACTAAGCCATTTACAGCAAGCAAAGGATAGTTACATAGATTCAAGAACAAGTTTACTCTAATAAATATAAAAATTAATAGAGAAACTGTATCTGTTGATAAGGGTGCTGCTGCCACTGACTAAAAAAAATTGTTGATAAGAACAGCTATTATCCTAAGCAAGTTTCTGTGACAAAACAAGCCTTCTTTGGAAAAAGGTGGACAAGAGGACCTACATACACAAAGGTGTGAAACAAATACCAGGCTTTAAAACATAGAAGAACAGATCCGGATTAATCCTGATGCTACGTGCCAACACAATTAAACATAAGATAAACTTTAGTATTGTTTATCAAGCAAGGAATCCTTGTGCTCTTAAAAAAAATATCACCCATTTTCTGGCAGCACACAATTCCAAGGTATCATGGTCATGGCTGTATTATTCACTGAATGGTTTCATCAATACTTCATTCCTGAAATGAAGAAATATTTGGAGAAAGAAAGGTTACTATTTAAGATTTCATTGATAATAGATAATTCAATTCACCTGGTTATTTTTTTTTTTTGAGGATGAAGAAACATGAATATTCCATAAGAAAAAAGCTGACAACCATAGCATTAGTGACATAAGTGGGTAGTAAAGAAGTTTGTGTTGAACTACAGAATGCAAATTGGTACACAGAGTGTTGGATAAAGCACAACTCAAATACCTCAAAGCATTTGAGATCTATCGTGCAATTAAACAGGGAGTTGCTATTAACTTCAAGGAAATGGACATGCTAGCCACAGCATGGTGTGCCATTTTTAACTAGATTCCACTGACATAAACTCACATTAACAAAAATTTAAACTACGGAGGATATTTAGCTCATAGGAATTAACGTGAAATTGATTATTTATTTGTTTGTTGTTTAAATAATATACATATACCAAAATTTTATTCCAAATATATCAATTTTAACGTTAGGTATTTGAATCACATAATCAATACGAACTTTTAAAAACATTCTATTTTTGTTAGCCATTTGTTTGATATCATATATACCTGAGGGTGTCAATTTCACATAGATGAAAACGTTTGTAAATTTTCCTTTTTTCTTGTTATTTGCAAGTGTTGGTTTTATGAGTGATATATTTATAAAAACCCAGTTTTTGAGGTGTAATAAAGTAGTACATTCTCTCCCTTCCTGCCTACAGTTTATGTTGGCAGGGAGGGAGAGAGTGCTGCAATGCCACATCACTAGTAAAAATTTGAATTTGCTGATTGGAATGCTTTCGGTTGATCAGTGTTTGGATAATCGATGCTCTACTGTAATTCAAACAACAAATTACTAGAGAAAGAAGTGCTAAATCATATTGAGAGACATCCTGAAGTGTTGATAAACAAGGAGTTAGAAGACCTCATAAAATCACCTATAGAGGAAGAAGATACTGAACCAGAACCAGCAATATGATCCTTGAAAAATTTGGTTCAAATGGCCCAGAATTTAAAGGAAAAGGTAATAGAATATGATTCTATGATGGAATACAGCATTAAAGTTACCAATTTAATAACAGAAGCTTTAGAATCTCTTCACACAGTAATATGTATCATGAAATGGAAAGGTAGTAGCAACAACTTCCCATCAAAATGTTTTTTCATAAGGCCAGAAAGGTGTCTACTATCAATGATCCCCAGCTATCAACATCGTCTGTTCACATCTCTAGCCATTGACAACTTCATGTATTCTGTCTTCACCAGCTTTTTCAGACATTATGTCAGAAGTTGAATAGTCTAACACAGTGTTTCTCAGCCTCTAACAAATCGTCACTCCGTCTTCAACCTAGTATCGCCCCCTTCAATAAAACTGTTACGTAGTATCGTCCCCTTCACTTCAAAATTCCGATGCCCAGGGCCAAGGCTAACACCAAATTCATACTGCATTGAATAGACTAGTGACTAGTATAATGTTATTTGTTTAATTATTGTACGATATAACAAATAAAATACCTAACTATTCTTAATATAATGTTTTACTATATCGTCCAGAAAATTGTTTTTTGCCCCAAAATATAAATTGTTACTAATCGCCCCATCAACATGGAAAAACACCCACATGGGGTGATATCGCCCCATGTGGGCGTTTGAACACAATGAAAGCTATAGGTCATCACCCCAGTTGAATTTTTCACTGTAATAATGAGATTATACCAATATCAAGCAAAATATTAAAATCTTTTTAATTAAAATTAATATATTTTTAATAAACATTTTTTTTATTATAGATTAAGTATCAATTTATAAAACAATGCAAAATACATAATAATATGTAACAGTACCAATGTTTTTATTTTTCCTTAATCTATCACATCATAAGCATACATGAATATGGGTTTTGTAGACAGTTAGCTATTATCTGTAATTTCAGTTATCCATGGTAAGCTTTGGAACATATCCATAGATACATCAGTTCCACTGTATTTTGCAAAACTTATTTCTAAAACTCAAATTACTGATGGATAAGACACAATCAAATAGAAAGAGTCGAAATTATCAAGCAAGCAATATATTATCATTATTTTGATATCTTAATAAATTTATTGTGTATAAAAAAGATAACATTAAACATCTGAAGAATTTTTAATAAAAGGTAGTTATATCATAAAAATAAATTTAAATTTAATCAGAATATAGTATCTTTTGCAAAATGTCTCACTCATACTATGCAACATTATTATTATTATTATTATTATTATTAGAAATAACAAAAAAATATAATAAGAAATACAAATATGATACCTTTATACCACCATCTTTTCTACTTGGTTGAGGTCTGGATAAAGATCTAGCTTGAGATGGTGTACTTGTCAATCTGTTTCCACCAGGTAAAGGAGATTTAAGACTACCGGTAGAAATTCTATTGGAAATGCCCTTTAGAGGTGATGCTATTTACATATTAAAATAATAATGTATTATAAATATATTATTCTTTAAGTTTAAGTTTAATAAATAAAAGATAAAGATGTACTTATATTAATAGGTCATATTACAGAAAAATTATAATCAATACTACAAAATTAAGAATGAAATAAAATCTGTTAATTATTCAGTGTTGAAAATTCTGTAAACATTTGCATTTACACTATAAAATTATAATTTAACAAAGTTAAATTTATTTAATTGTAATATTTAAAGAAAGAAAATATATCCCAATTTGACTTATCACACTATACCTTTATTTTGCTGAGATAGTTTTATTGAAAAACAAACGTTTTCAGCCTACTCTATAGGCCATCCTCAGGCTTAACGATAGAAAAAGGAACATTGGCATTCCATTAAATAGAATACATAAATTTAAATTAAAAAAAAGTATAACGGAAAAACAAGAAAATTAACTGAAAAAATAATTCAGATACAAATACAATACAAAACAAAACCAGACCTAGTGATATAAAATAATAAATAAAAATAAATGTACTAGTTAATACTTTAGATAAACATTGTAATAAATTGTTAAGGAATATTTGAAGATTGAAGTAACTATTGATATAAACTAAGGCAAGACTACAAGTTACAAAGTTCACATATAACAAGAATACGAAAGGTATTATGAAAGAAATTATGAACTGCAAGAGGACAAGAATGGTCCTAAAAAGAGTTCCGAACCTGTATACAATCTTAAGAAATGATAAAGACCACATTAAAAAAGAAGAAAAAGCAGGAGTATATAAAATTCCTTAAGAGAACACACAATTATGAATCAAAAAAGATTACATTGGAGTCACAACAAGAAACTTGGGGATAAGACTTAAAGAACACAACTATGATGTCAAAAACGGCTCCAACACAACAGTACTTTCCCAGTTTGCGCAGACACAAGGCTCAATAATAAAATGGGATGAAGCGGGTATTGTCAAACCCTTGTACTCTCCACACTAGCAAAAACCACTGAAAAAGTTGAAATTTATAACAGCAAACTGGAAGAGGATGCATAAATGCAAAGGACGCAGAAAGCCTACCAACGGCGTGGAAATTTATAGTCAAAAAATTTAACACGAACTTGTAGTCTTGCCTTAGTTTATAGTTACTTCATTCATCAAATATTCCTTAACAATTTATTACAATGTTTATCTAAAGTATAACTAGTACATTTATTTTTATTTATTATTTTATATCACTAGGTCTGGTTTTGTTTTGTATTGTATTTGTATCTGAATTATTTTTTCAGTTAATTTTCTTGTTTTTCCGTTATACTTTTTTTAAATTTAAATTTATGTATTCTATTTAATGGAATGCCAATGTTCCTTTTTCTATCGTTAAGCCTGAGGATGGCCTATAGAGTAGGCCGAAAACATTTGTTTGTCAATAAAACTATCTCAGAAAAATAAAGGTGTAGTGTGATAAGTTAATTATTTGCTGAGCACGTTCTGTTTAATTTTAATATCCCAATTTGATTTAATTTTAGGAATTTTTCTGTTATACAGGATGATCCATTTTAATCAACCCACTAGAATATCACAAAAAACTAAACAACCTACAAAAAATTGTGAGACTATAAGGGAGCAACAACTTGAATTTTAATATGACCTGTATGTTTCCTTACAATTTAATATATAATACATATGCTACTAGATTAAATTAAAAAATAACTTTATTAAAAATTTTAATTTGAATACTGAATACTTACAACTATCAAAATTTTTCATAAGTCCTCTACATCTTATTGGAACAGATGTTGTTGTTATGGTTTTCTTTATATTAGCTGCAGCATCACTTGCTAAAATATAGAAGTAAATATTTAATACTTAATATAATTAAACCTCTTATTTATCCTGATTAATATGTAATCTTAACTGTGTATTTATATATATAATCAATTAAATGAACTTAAGTTAAATTTAAAATGTTTATAACTTGCATAAACTCTTTTAGAAATATATAAATAACACTAACATTTTTGTAATAATTCAGCTCTTAATGCAGCAGATTTTGGTTTTCTCTTTAGTGCAAAATGTTTTACTGGTTGTGGTTGTTGTCCAACTAATGCATTGAAGGCATTTCTATTCAGATATAAACACTCCAATGGCAAAATACTCTGATCACTGTGTTTCCGTACTGTATTAATTACAAAAATTGAAGATTACAATTTTTATCTGTATAGAATTAATAATTATTTTATAAATTTTTAACTATTTATCTTACAAAAAGCATTTTTTTATAAATTTTTCAATAAACAAATTCAAAGTTACCGTATTTACTCATGTATAAGACAATTTCCTATATAGGACGAGGTGTGACTTTAAAGATCAATACAGTGGGTGATCAATCAATTAATAAACATAATTCGTTCCAAGACTTTGTTCACTATCCGAATTGCTCGTTAACCGATTATTGATTTACCATAGATTTTTATGGAAATTTGATTAATTCATTCTGGAAACCCCAAAAAATAAATAAAAAATTATATACTTTCTTACTATGTTTATTTACATGTAATAACAAACTAAAAGCAATCTCTCCATTTTTTCATAGATGGCACATCTTTGTTTCTCAGATGTGATTTTTGTTACTCCTTTAGCTGCTCGAGTCTTCTTGATTATATCTTTCTTAGCTAACATTGTGCCTATTGTAGACCTGTTCAAGCCATACTGCCTAGCACCATCAGACATCTGCCCACTCTCTACCTTGGCTATTATCTCTTGCTTTGTTTCTAAGGTGAGCACATTCTTGACATGCCACTCTTTAAGCTTCATAATAATATCAATGTCTTTTTGAAATAAAAAGTTCAAAAAAAGCACTCACAAAAATTCAGTGAACAGAAACCAACTAGCACAAGAAAGAATTATGTAAATGTGAGGCCCGAATAAAATTTGAAATTTTGGTGTTAAACCATTAACAAATAGCCGATGTGACAGTTAAACTCTCACCTTTAGAAAATAGAAACCAATGTAAAACTTAACGAATGCCCAACTGTCTCACAAATACTATAAAAAATTATATGCCAGAAAGGTAAACAATAAGCTGGAATTACAATGGAGAGTTTCAAAGTTCGGAGAAATAATATCTGATTGGTATCGGATTGAGCGTCTCCCATGCTCTGAAAGGTTTCGAATTGTTATCTGGAGACAAGGGAAAACCAATCAGTATTCATTATTTTATGTTGCTTCTTTTTGTGTTTGTTCTGTGAAATGTTCATTGTCCGAACATAAAAATCTTTTGTGAAAGTGTTCGTTATCCAATTTGTTCGCTGTCCAAATTGTTCATTAACAATCACCCATGTATAAAGAAAGTTATATTTATTAATTCAATTGTAATTTTATTTCATTTAATCACAAATAAGTTAAAATATCAACTACATGTAAATTCACTCATTGGCCCACAAAAATTACTGGCATTTTAAACTTTAATGAAAAATATTGTAAAATTGACATAATTTTTTCATGTAAAACTGGACAATCAGGAACCTTTTGCCAATTCTTAACAGTTAAATCCACTCTCCATCAATTGCACTTACGAGTTTCTCCAAATTCTGATTTCTGAATAATCATTTTTTTTCACTTGGGAATGGATTAAAACTTATATCAGGCTCCTGAGTGATTTTGAAATTTCAATTTGGAATTCAATTCAAAAGCTTTGCTTTTCCTATTGCTATTCATCTTACTCCTAATAATAAACAAAAATGACTGAAACGACCTAGATAAAATACTTTTGTTTTTAAACACCAGACGTTGAACATCTGGTAAAAAATGTGAATACATGGTTTGCAAAAACGCAAAAAATCCTTAACTCACAGGTATAGGATGACCTAGGTTTTTGAAGCAGTGAAAAATAAATAAAAACCTCATCTTATATGTGAGTAAATACGGTATATACATACAAATATAGTTTTTCAACAATATGGATAAACAGACTAAGTAATGATAACAATTTTGCCAAGAAAAACTTAATTGAATTAATGAGCTAGTCAGTTAAATAACAATGATTACAGCAATAACTTTATTCAGATAATTATTTTAGGTTTGTCATAATTACTTATTTACTCAATATCACTGATCTATATCAAGCCATTCACACTAAGGTTAAAAGCAATTCATCAATCAACAGGAATGAAGAATATCAACTAATTATTTAAATCAAAAATAGGAATCAGAAGTTATACATTTAATTAATTATAATTCATATATATTTAACATTGCATTTTCTTTGATTTAAAATTAGTTTTTAGAGAAAATTTAGCAAAGTGCTAACTTTGCTCTCATATTTATCAAAATATTTCTACAGTATTATTAAAAATTATTTTTAATGTCTTGTATTAATAAAATGAAAACCATTTTATTAAATAATTTCAATTTTTAATTTTTTTTAATAATTATTGTAAAGCATTTGTTTTCACAAAAACTCAACAATATGAACATCTTGAATTATTCCTATATATTGCAGGTGTTGCATTTTACTTGGTCAGCAGTGTATTTTATCATAAAAAATTTAATATTGTTATCAGATATTTATTCAAATAGTTATTAAAAAATCATCTTACCTAATTTTTTCAACTCTCCTATTAATTCAGTAAATACAGTAATATTTTCTTCGATTTGGAAATTTAAAGTACCAGTACTTGGATAAGATTTTAATAACTCTGCTAACATGGATACCCATTGATCACTATCAACTAATGCAACTTCTAAGATTTCTTCCAACTCTACTTTCCACTATAAAATAGAATCAGCATTAATTATCTTTAATATATACATAAACAATTGAAAGCTATAATTAATAAATGATAATCTCAATACATCAATAATATAAATTATGATTTTTTGAGCTTTAGTGTAAAATAAAATTAAAATACAGCTCTTAGCATTTATAGACTACAGATTAATTTAGAGATTTCATATTCATACTTTGTATTTATTTCTGAAAGTTTGTAATGATTTACAAAGTTTCAGAATTAAATACTTTCTTTACAAGAAAATGAAATATTCCATTACTTGAGTATGTTCAATCTAATCAAAAAGAAATTTAAGCAGAAATGTTAACCATTGTAATAAATTAACCAAAAGAAAACACCAAGATTAATGACATAAAATTAATCATATACAACAATAAAATATAAAATACATAAAGTATATGTTTTGGAATAAAAACTGTTTCCAGTTTACATTGGGATTATAAAATATATCAAAAGTTAGTCATTAAAAGAAGAATTATTCAATATGAATTCTTGTTTTGATACATTGTTTTTTTGTAAAAAAAAATTTTTTGGCACTATCATGAATTAACTATGCAAAGTACACATATCATCTTTGAACTACTGTAATTTCATAAACTTAGATGAACCATAGGTAAAACTATAGATGAACCAAACAAAAATATGTTTACCATGATTTTCTGAATATAACATAAAGATTATTTGTGTTTTAAAGTTAATTTGAAAGCAGGTGCAGTCTATGCATTCTAAAAATTGCATTTTTTGACTGTTGCAAGAATTTTTTGCAACAGTCAAAAAATAAAATAATTAACCTAATAATTTTAATTAAAGACATAAGATAGGAGTGGACTTACAACCACTCAAAATCCAATTGCCCTGCATAGATAAAAGTGTAATGTATCTGTTTCTCACATACCACTATCAAATATCTTAGAAATTAAATCATACTTTAATACTCTTTGCAACACTATTTCATGGATATATTTACATCAAAATAATTACAAAATCAAAACTTGAACATCAATTCACTGAAAACTTTGATTTTATAACAACACCTTCATTCAATTATATTTTGCTTGTCTGTATAGACAACTTGCATGTGACATATTGGAATCTGGAATGTACATGATTGTGCATGTGCATTTTGCTCAGCATCATATTTGTGGCAATTCCATTCCATTATAATGTCACCTAATGACTGACAGAGTGACCAAATTTTAATGTGGAAAGGTGTAAACTTTGAGTGATTCACCTAATGAAAAGATACATTATAAGTAAATTTTAAAACAATGAAACAAATTTGACAATAACAAAGAAAGAAATTACCACACGGCATTTAGAAGTGATGCTGTGCAATGGTCAATAAAACTATCATAGGATGCACATTTTTAGTCAGTACAATGATACAATGACCTAGTACTATAGTTTGTTTTGTACTTAAAGTTCTCTTGCTAGGAAAGGTATGTTCTAAAGTAGTCTTCACCAAAATCTCTGGATCAACCCAAAGACTTGTTACGAAATTGTGAGTTTCAAGTATTTTGTATGCTTTCATGTAGTTAAGAGTTAAAAATTGGCTTATTAAGACAAGGAGTCATCATATTTTATATTTGGCCATGAAATATGATCCTCTAAGAATGAATATGAGTAATCTTCATACAATCAACTTCACCAAACATTACAATTTTACTTTTGTACCAGTTGGCATCTTGACTAGCAAGAGTTGTTAAATAATCCAATAAAAATGCATGTTTTGCCATCTTCCACACTTGGTAAATGTTCAGAGCAAGCCAAACTATATACACCTCCATGAATAGCATGGCACAAATATGGCACAGGAGGTGGAGCAATGATGAATTTGGTCATGTGAGATAACATTCATGCAAGTTCTCTATTGAAATTTTGTCTAGCAACTTTATCATCAGCAATTAAAACAGAAAAAAAATATATATAAAAAAAAAAACTAAATTTGAGATTGATGTCATCATTTTATTACAATTTGATTAAAATGAGATGAAATTTTAAATTATTTTTATCAAAATATATTTTGTGTCCAAAATATTGAAAAAGAAAAACCAACATTAGGAAATACAGTAAACATGTTTAGACAATATTTGCATTACAGTGGACATTGGCTTTAATGATTGGAAGTTGAAAAACAAATTTCAAATTTTTATTGTTTTAATTTGTCGGGCAGAGGGTGCCACCATGTGACCTTCGCCCTCTGACCTCACTTTGCTCCCGGATTCCAATCAGGAAAGACAGCTTTTCACTTTACATTAGTTAACCTTTTGGAGTCAACAGTGCCAATCTTGAATTTGTATCATATCTCAACACTATTGTAAATATTGCATAATCAATCCAAATAAAGTAAATTATTCACCTGGATCAGGTCTCAGTTAATCTTTACCGACAGAACAAAAGAGCGTAAAACTTGTGGTTGTGTTCAATGTGGACATCATGGACAAGATAGGACCCAACATAGACCAATTCTGCCTAGCATTGAAACGTGCTGCATACGAATTTTAGTCACACTGCTAAAAATTCATGTAATAAAGTTTGATATTGCATAAAAAATAAATAAATTTCATCACATAAAATTATAATTCTCATTCTCAAAAGAAGAAAAGTTACCATTTCATTTGTGTAGGTAGAGAGGAAACTTAAGAACATGAAAAATAAATCACCAAGTTTAATTTTTTAAAAAAAATATCTAAAAAAATCAAAATATTAATATCATTAAATTTTTACTATCCTTGAATAAAGATATCTTACAATTACTAGAACTAATGACAAACACCAATGAACCTTTATAATCAAGCAACAAAAGGAAAAATCAAAACAATAAAAACATCAAAGCAAATGCTTTTGACATTAACCAAGGTCTGCTTCAGGTTTAGTAAACCAATGAAATTCCAAAATGGAATGCATAGAACTGAATGTTTTTGAAATGTTATTTTTAGACGTTTGGAACACACAACATGTAAAAAAATTAAAAGGTGAAAAATACATGAATTCAAAATATACTTACCACCAACACATGTGAATAAATAATTTTAGGATATAGCCTAAAGGCAAATAATAAAAGTCTGTGCGTGGTTAAAGTCAAAAGCATTTGTTTTGATGTTTTTATTAGATGTTTTCCTTTTGCTGCTGGATTATAAAGATTCATTGTTGTTTGTTACTATCCTTGAATTATTTGATCTAAAACAAAAGTAAATTTTCAGTTTTACTGTGAAAAAAATAGTAGTACTATTAGTCTAGTTGTCTGTTCATTCCCTTGGATGGATGTTATTCAAAGAAAGGATTTGATTTTATTCAAAAACAAATTGAAGGTTGTCACCCAGACTTGTATGGTTTGTCCTGTTTGCTTTGAGTGATGGTATAAAATGAATAAAACATAAGTCCATTGATTATTTTCTGATAGTAAATATGTCAAGCAGCAATGTTGTAGATGTGTTTGAACTCCTGTGACCTGTCTTCATTGTTTGGAATGTGGGTAAAGACTCTTCTAATCAGGTCTCTGACAGCTGTTATTTTAAATTTGAAGGAATCATGGGAAGATGTTGCAAAGGTTTCCCTCTTTAGTTGGTGATGTTAAGGTCCAAGAAGTGTACCAAAGAAGAACTTTCTTGTTCTTCTGACAGGAATAAGCCATATGGATTGGAATTAATGCCATTGTAAAACTTTTGGAGATTCAGTCTTCAGTACTAGATAATGTCATTGAAATATCTTATAAGGTGTGTTTCAAATTTATACGGACACGAAAAAATTAAAGTGAAACACAAATTTGCTGAATTAAGTGACAAATGTTTTATTAAAAATAATACGGATTTACATGTTTCTACACTGCAAAATAAGAATTTTAATCAAACATTAATATTTTGTCACTGAAAATAATATTTTTGAAAATCTTATACAAAAAAACTGTTACATATTTATCCGGACAGGCATTCATTTTATGACTTAAACAGAATATTGTTTAGTTTCAAGCATTGAAATATGCAAATTAGCTTACATATCTAATTGTAATACAAATTCTTTACGTTGTTCAACGTTCTAAAATGGGTAGAACAAAGAATTTATCTGATTATGAAAAAGGGAAGATTGATGCCTATAAATCACAAGGCAAGTCAATAAGAGAAATTGCAGCATATATAAATCGTCCAAAATCAACTGTTGGTGATTATTTATCAAAAAGACGTGGCAAGGATGTACCAAAATTCAAGACAGGTCCAAAACCCAAGCTTACTCCTCGAGATTGTAGACAAATCATCAAGGTTTGCTCCACAAAACAAACATCAGTAAGAAAAATAAAACAAGAATTAGACTTGCCTTGTAGCAGCACAACAGTGTGGAGAGTTTTAAATAAATCTCCAATGTTAAAATTCAGAAAAAAAGCTGTAATGCCACCACTTTCATTAAAGCACAAAAGTGACAGACTTGATTGGGCACAAAAACACATGACATGGTCCGAAGAATGGATTGAAGTTTTGTTCAGTGATGAAAAAAAATTCAACTTAGATGGTCCAGACGGTTGGAAGTATTATTGGCACGATTTAAGAACCGAAAAACAAATATTTTCAAAACGCCAAATGGGTGGGGGATCAATAATGGTGTGGGGTGCGTTTGGATTCAACGGAACCACAGATTTAGCATTTATAACTCAAAGAATGAATTCAAAGAAGTATCAAGGCATGCTTGAAGATCATTTATTGGAAGCTGGACCAAATATTTGTGGACCAAATTGGATCTTTCAACAAGACAATGCCCCTGTGCATGCCTCTAAATCAACAAAAATGTGGTTTAAACGTAAAAATATTAATCTGATGACATGGCCTGCTAGAAGCCCTGACCTGAATCCGATGGAAAATCTTTGGGGGATGATGGTTCGTACAGTTTATGCCAATGGAAAGCAGTTTTCCACAATTCATGATTTGAAGGCAGCAATTTCAGATGCTTGGGATAAACTTAAGATTGAATTCCTTCAGAATCTAATTGAAA